TTCGGGTCTGGACCCTTCTGCAGAAAATCCAGAAAGCCCAGACGTGAAACGTCAGCTTTCCTGCTCCTCTGATGCTGCTTGGCCTGCTGTGTTCATCCAGCTCTACACCTTGTTATCTCAGATTCTCCAGCATCGGCAGTTCCTACTATGTCTGTAAATATTTTTATGTTGTTTTGTTCAGCTTCTCCATACAAATAGTTGCACAGAAATTACTTTATAGAATGAATTGTATGCTTAATGAAACCAAAAATTAGACAGAAACAAAAAACTACATGATGCTGGTCAGGTTTGATGAAGAAGGGTGGGAGAAGACTCATACAAAGCATTGATACTAGTATGGAGAGTTTGGGCAAGAGAGTTTGTTTCTGTACTGTATATTCAATGTAGTTTTTGTAAAAACTCTGATTTCACTTTTGGTTTATATATAGACATAAATCATTTTGAATGATATGGTAGTTATTTCATTTACTTTATTTAATTGGGTACCTCTGGTATGTAACAGGATATAATTTGAGTTCTTTCTAATTAAATGTTGAAGTGCAGTGTTGCTGAATGTGCTACCCATTACAAGCTATAACAAAGATGTGAAGGCCTGTTCATATGAACAATGAGTGCGCTATGGTTCTAATCACCAAAAATCGGGGTCGGGGCCAGAGCCCTACCTCATTCCTTATGATCTTATTATCATATCTCCTCAACAAAACTGTCCAGGACCCCATCTTCTATACTAATCTTAAGCAGTTGCAGATTTAAATGGACTAATTTATGGTAAAGAGAGAAACGTATATAAAATAAAATTGTCTTACATTCACGATAAAAGTCATTGTGAGGCAGTCGAACATCCACAAGGCCCTGAAGAATCTAAAAAAGTCAAAAGGTTTAATCACATTTTATAGAATGTACATTCCATGGTTACATTTCATCCTAGTCAGGATTCAATTTATAAACAATTTTACATTTAACTAAGTTATTAAATACATTTTCAAGACCATATAGCCCACTGAACCTGTTCCACCAATCAATATGATCAGTGTTTCCATTCATGTCATTTTTCTGTCCGCTCTCCATAACAATGTTTCTGCAGGGCACAAAATACCTGACCATTGCAAAATTAAACATCTTCAGAGATGGAGCATTCACAATCCTTGAAGAGGAGAGAACTTCAATGATCCCAGGCCCTTTGGGAGAAGTAATTTCTCATGTCCATCCTAAATGACTTGTTATTCTGAAACTGTGTGCCTGCATCTTTGATTCTCCAGCCAGGGAAAATAACACTGCAATATGTGTTCTATCAAACCCCTTTATAATCTTGAATGTTTCAGTGCGATCACCTCTCATTCTCCCAAATTCCAGGGAGTATAATGCAGAATGTTACACTGTAGAGATTCCATAAACTGGCCATTATTTATGTTGGTCATGTGACAAGAATGCGTCCCCACCAATCACAGCCCTTTATGATTGGGCTCAGTCGGATACCTCAGGCAGTTGCAGGTCAACTTGACTGGATGGCACGTCTGTAAGTTCCAGCAGTGGAGAGGTCTGGTACGTGAACAGTCCCCAAATTCCAAATCCTGGATCTGTTAAGTACAGGGGATCCCATGATGGGGAGGGAATATATGACCCAATTTGGCGTGGGCCTGGCGGGAAATGGGATTTGGTTCTTGATGGAGAGGCCAGGATGACAGGAAGCACCTCAGGTTGATAGATCTGAGAAAAGGGGGCCCTTGAGAGAGGCACTCCCTTATCAGCCAAAGGCCCACAGCAGGGTGACCTAATGTGCCTCCCCCCTGCCCTTGAACTCCTTCTGCAGCTTCAAAATTGAGGAAAGCGACCTCTAAATAAAATGCCTGAATTTGTGGGCAATGTGGGGGTCCCAAATAAACATTGCTGACAAGACAGTGCGGGTGGGGTTGAGGTGGGAAGACCATCAAGGAATGTTACAGGATCCCCCATATAAAGTCCCCTAAAAACATCAATGAGCTAAATGATCCTTTGACTGATTTTCAATGGGGGAGAAATTTTGATAAGGAAATATTCCAGCTTTTCTTCGGATACTGCTGTGGGATCGTTGATATCTATGATATATTCTGACAGCATTTCCACAGTGTTGCATTAAAGTCTTAGCTCAGATTATGTCTTCATGACTGTTCGTGGCATTTGAGCCCATTTATTTCCAACTCTGAAACAAGTGGGCCACTACTTAACCAAACTGATAACCGATGAAAAGAAACTCTTCCATTGGGTGTGAAGGATCACAAGCCCGAATTCTCATGGGTAGTAACATCCCTTTGGATCCTTCTTCCAGTTTATATGCCTTTGACTCTATCCTTTCTTCCAACCTCAATATCGGTGGTGCATTCACAATGCTCTCTGACCTTCCCTTCTCTGGCCCTGAAATATCCATCCTTAGCAAAGGCCAGAACTTCTCCTCCTTCTGCTCCCACTTCAATAAATACTGTGGCAGCACGAAGCAGAGCTCATTTCTCATCATTTTTACCACTGAATATTTGGAACCTCTTGCCTGCTCTGCCATTCAAAGAGATCATGGCTAATCTGAAGTCTCATGCAAGAACAGCACTTAATTTTCCACTTAGGTTTTTTACAGCCTTCGGGACTCAACGTCTGCAGGATCTTGTTAGGCCAGAAGGATTCTCCCAGCATTTCCAACAGGAACTCACATGTGGAGTTGTATCCTCTCTAGATCTTCTAATTGAGAATTGTCAAGATGACAGCAGTTACCTCAACAACGAAGCCTTCACCCAGCAATCCAGGAGAAAACTGGTGAAAATGGTAAGTGCAGAAGAACTACCACCATGTGGTAACATCAGCTGGCATATTCAGGGAAGCTTTTAAAAATCTTAGTGTGTCGGTAAGTGAGGTGAGAGGACGGCTGAATGAGTGGAGACAGAGTAACTGGGAGAAGGGATACAGTCTTTACAGAAGCCAAGCCATCAAGACTGTAAGTATTTGGAAGCAGCTGGTATCTTGCGTGAGACCGAACTAAAACCTTAGGTCCTGAAAGGGGTGGCACAGTGGCTCAGTGGTTAGCACTACTACATCAGAGTGCCAGGTTCGATTCCAGCCTCAGGAGACCGTCTTTGTGGAGTCTGCACATTCTCCCTGTGCCTGTGTGGGTTTTCTCTGGGTGCTCCAGTTTCCTCCCACAGTCCAAAGATGTGCAGGTTAGGTGAATTGGCCATGCTAAATTGCCCACAGTGTCCAGGGATGTGCAGGCTAGGTGGGTTAGCCATGGGGAATGCAGGGTTATAGGGATAGAGTGGGGATGTGGGTCTGGGTGGGATGCTCTTTGGAGGGTCGGTGTGGACTCTATGGGCTGAGTGGCCTGCTCCCACACTCTTGGGATTCTATGAAAGCAGATCTGACAACCCGATAGTAAGCATTAACTCTGTATCTCTCTATTGATGCTGCATGACCCAATAAATGCCGAGTGATAAGTATTTTCTGTTTATGTCCCAATTTAACATTGCCAGATTCACCAAGGTCAGCTGCACGAACATGTTTCTGTAGATTTTTTATTTTGAGATTAACATGCTGTAATCGCATCAGCACACACTTCCTCTCTGTTTACAACCACAATGATCATGGATAACCACTTCCTTTAGTACTCAGTATCCTATCCTGTTCCTCAGGGGTACTTCAAGAAAGATTGTTTCCACATCACTATTTTCATATTTGTTTTCATTAATGAAGCTATTTTGCAGATTCTTGGATTAAAGCAAAACCAGAACCAGAGTTGAATATATTACTGGGGCAACTGTGTCATATGTACAGACACTGCTTTGAAAGCGTACTTGTGGTATTTATAGATCAGACTGTACAATTTTGATTAAGTAATATCAGTTGCTTCAATTGTTATCATGTTTTCATTTATTTTGTGTCTCTTTTTGATAAAACCCTGAATAAAGAGAACATGCGCACCAATTAAAAGTTTATTTTAATATATATGTAAAAATGAAAAAAAGTCTTGTGTCCATCACAGATTTATAATACTTAAAATGGTGGACACAATAGTCTTAAAAGTGCTTTTGTTTTAAAAATAAAACATTTCCTGCTGTCTTTCTGACCTTGATGTCTTGGCCTGTCCCCAAGTTCAGGTGCCAGGAATTTATGGGCAGCTGATATACGTAGACACTTCCCTTGATGAGCCTTTTGTTAATTTCAGCATGTACTATTTACTATTTTAGAATGTACATCACAAAAAGCCCCTGAGCATTAACTTTTAAAGGGACAGGCCTGATTAAACACAATAACCTCTCAACAGCTAAACATCAACACAATGCTCCAGACACAATGGGTGGAATTTTTCACTCCCTTGAGCTGTGTGGGAGATAGCGAGAATGTTTGGAAAATCGAGGAAGAATGAAGGATGCACCCCACAGTTCTTTGCTGCATTTTTTTTAGCACCCACTCACATTGTGCTCAATTGGAGGCTCCAGTCTCTATGATTTGGATTGTGTCTTATTGTAGGGGGAAGAGGTAGGCAACTTGTCACATTTCAGAGCACTGAACAGTTAAGGGAATGGACGTGGCACTGCACAGTACTGAGCTATGTCACAGTTACACCAGTACCATGTGCCAGGAGCTTACACAGCAAACACTGTGCATGAGCTTCTACCAAATGCATGGGCCTCAAATGGCCAAGTCTGAAAGTCATAGGGGAACAGACTCATGGGGGTCAAGGGATGAGCCAGATTTCCATGCCTAGATCTCTCGGGTGGGCCTTGCAGTATTGCCCAGAAAGGCAGAAAGGGTATCCCTACATCACATTGACACGCTGTGCTCTTCACAGCTGAAACTTATAAAGTGAGGGGGATGGGTGGTATCCTGGATGCAGAGGAAATGGGGGATCGACAGCAATCTTTTAAGGATGAAGATGGCGATCAAGATCAGGACATTCACCAGGATGGATATGTAAGACAGCATGACAGAGAAATGCATCGTTGTACGTGAGAAACTAGAGAGATCCTGATTGGAACCTCTCTCTCCAGGATGAAAATAAAATAAAAACAAAAACTATTGAAGAAACTCAAAACTTCCAAACGGGAGACATTCAACTCAAAATTCTGTTTACTCTGTTTCTCTTTCCAAAGATTCTGTCAGACCAACGGAGTTTCTCCAGCACTTTGTTTTTATTTCAGATCTCCAGTATCCACAGTATTTTGCCTTTATTCCAGAATGAATTAGTTGGGTTTGGACTTCCTTTAATTGTTTAACTTTCTGTTCCTTATTTGGCAAGCAACCTCTGCTTAGTGCAAAGGACATGTGGACCTGATAGTTTGGCAGTCCTTGACCTTTATGTTGCTGAATAAATATTTCGTTATCCATCTGATTGTACGCTTGACATTTTTGGGTGATCGCACTTTCAAAGTATCTACACTTTACAAAAAGCGGCAGTTACTGAGATGGGGCATTAACATCACGTGGGGTTAACATTAGCTTATTCTTAAGGCTTCAATTGGTGTGTGATAATCTGAGTGTTCTGTCATGAATTCTCTCATTATATTCAGCTGTTTCAGACAAATTCTTAGACACCCCATTTTCATCTTTTAATCAAAGGTTGTTCTTCAATGTTTCAAAGTGTTCAAAGACTGCTAAAATACCGTAAAATGTCCGAGTTCCCTGTAGGACAGCCCTGAGAGAAGTAATGCCATTGGGGGAGGGGGAGGCAGGGATGGGGTGGGGTTTAACATGTGAACTTTATATTGTATACCTCCCAGCCTTGAATGGGTTTCCTTGAAAAGCTGAAAGATAAAATGAATCTTCCCTCCAGAGATATGTGGAATCAGCACTAACATAAGTCCTGCACATTGCTTTTAGTGTCAGTGCTATCCACGTTCAAGTACAATGTCTTGGCTGCAGTCAATAACACAATGTTTCAAGGATTTGTGACGTATGATGCTATTTGTGAAGGAGTCAATTACCTGTGAGAGATGAGCAATGCTTGGCCATTTTAACTTCTTTCATGTCTGGGATGTCTGAACACATTGGCCATCCCTCACATGGGTGTGACCTCACTGGTGCGACACGTCGAGTACCAATGGCTACAGCAATGGAATGCAGATCCATGCACATATCCTGCAGACACCGAGTGTGCTGGAGCTGGGTCTCCATGGCAGCCACCAACCTCTCCATGGAGACTGCTCTCATAGTGCTGATGATATAAGTGGACTCCTCCATCTTTCCATCCAGCTTACTAAAAGGACACCTGAGAAATTTTGCCTGCTGTTCCTGTGCCTGCTTGTGTATTTTGAGCAAAGTTACTAAGGGCTGAGACTGTAGGATTGACTCACGCCTGAGACTGAGCAGTTGCCTGGATTGCCAAAGATGTGTTGAGCGCATTATGTTTCTGATTCTAATCTAGAAAGACAACACACCGAGGTGGAGGGTGCAGGTGAAAGCCTTGCCGCCATAGCCCTTGAGGATTGAATGGCCTCCTCCTCAGGGGAAGGGGGTCGGTGTTTGAGAGCCCCCAGGGCTGGCCTCATGGGGTGAGGGTTCACTGGGTGCCACTAGTGCCAGCATAAAAGAAGAGGTGGAGTTAGTTTTGTAACGGGAATAAAAACATATGCAGATTAAGAATGAGTTAGCACTGGTTTGTAATGGGAGAGCAGTGCAGCACAGCACAATGAAGCTCGCCTGTGTAGGTCTCACACAACAACACTCGTTGCAAACTTCACCAGCTAAATTGGGCATTCTTTCCCCATCTAGCACAAGAAGTCTTATGTCTGCTCCTCCTGTGCCAGGCTTGGCCCTCTTGGCCGAATGTGAGCCAATTTCGTCCACAATGAGATGAAGGGAGGGATTGAGTTTGACAGAAGTGAATGGGAGAGCAGTGGTCATGCAGGAGCATGAGAGGTGGTGAGATGTCCCTGTGGGGGGCAGGAAGGATTAGTAGTTCGGGAGAGTGAGAGCTGTTGAGTGGTCATGACACATGCTGTATTGACAGTTATACTGCACGAGCTTTGATGAGATGCATGTGCAATAGCAGAGTTAGAGTGAGAGCTGGTCTTGTCAGCGTGAGGTAGCAGACCAAAGGTGGCGACACTTACCTCTACAGTGTGGGGAGAGCACTGAACTTCCTTCTGCTCTACTGAGCATTGGATTTTACCTGAAATACTGCCCTGACATAGGTACTAGCTCAGTCCGGGCTGCAAGGGTCTAGTGGTGTAGCCTCCTTTCCCAGACAGCAGGATACAACCCTGCCTTTCCTCTCCAATGCCCTGTTCACCAGAACCTCCAGGCCAGCAACCAAGGAGTTAACTTCCACCCTGGGCCACATACTGAATGCAGATGCTTGAACATCACAGTGTGGTGCGCAGCTGGGCTTTACATAAGGTGTTGTAGCGTAAATGCCAGAACGTCCTGGCAGTGGTGAGCATTTCCACCTCTTCTTCCATGATACCACGAGATGGGTGTCATAATTACTGAGGTGAACAGTGGAAGACTGCATTAGAAAAATCCCTGTGAGCCAGGGCAGACTGGGCACCATGAATTTTGCTTGAAAATACACTGTGCCTGAAAATGGGAACATTCAGCCCAATGTGACCATCTACAACATCATAGAAAACCTTAGCACCTACAACACAAATTAAAGGCAAAAAGAATCATACCAATACAATTATAATTCTAAGCCTTTAACCAACAGAGCTTTTGAAAATGTTTTTTTTAAATTCAGATTTACAGGGCTACTTTCTAGAGCTCCATTTAGAGCAGGTTAGTGTTAGCTGCAGCTCAGTTGGTGAACATGCATCTCAATCACAAATTTCCAGGTTCAGGTCCCACTACAGGACCTGAGCACTAAAGCCAAGGCTGATGCTCCAGTGCAGTACCGACAGCGTGCTAAACTCTCAAAGGTGACGGTTATCAGATGAGATTTCAAAACCAGGCCCTGTCTGCCTGTGCTACTGAATATGAAAGATTCCATCGAACTATTTTAAAGACCAGGCAAGACATTCCTGATGTCCGAGTCAATACTTATCCCTGAATCAACATCACAAATCATATTATCTGTTCATGGTCACATTGCTGTTCGTGGCAGTTTGCTCTAAAGTTGATTACTGTGCTTCCTGCATTCCAACAGTGACTACGATTCAAAAAGCACCTCATTGGCAGGACAGTGATTTGAGACATCTGGGGTCATGGGAAACACTATATAAACACAAGTCTTTCCTTTCCTTCCGTTTGCAATGTAACAGATGGGTCAGAATGAGATCCATCTGCAACATGTCCAACCTCAATTGATGATGCCAGTGTGTCAGCCTTTTTAGAAAAGAAAATCAGGTTAGCTGTGTTCCTCTTGCTTTCTGTCATGAACTTGCGTTCCTGCTGATGATCAAAAACAGAAAGCACAGCAAGGACAAGGGAAAAATACAACTGCAGGCACAGAGCTGTGGCATATGAACAGAGCTCTGTTTCCAGGCAATCAAATCCACAAGGATACAAACATATCAAAACTTTAATGGAGGTAGTTTATTATACCCTATGAGGTCAACTTCAGGAGTCTCAATAAATTTGGGCAGTGGAAACCTGGAGGAGTACAATACTCAGCTGGTACTGAGGAATGGAAAGAATATCAAACTCTGTCGTCAGTGGAAACATTTGCTGATAAAGAGAACATATGGTTGATGTCAGCTGACCATATGTCAGAAGCATCACCCATCATGAAATATCTGTTCTCATTTAGAGTGCAGCAGGATGCTGGTTTGGAAAAAAATGTTTAACATAGTTTTTCATTGTTACACAACGCCGAAGCAAGAAGCAGATGATTCAAGTACACTTCCACAGGATTCACTTGCCTCTTTTCAGCACCTTCCCCCTGCAAGCTATTAACTTTCAATGAGGTCACATACCTGCTGAGGTACTTTGAAGCGGACGTAAGAGCAAAGCTTCAGCATCTCTTCCATCTCCTCAGGGGTAGACGGAATAAGGGGAACTCTACTAACATCTCCTATTTGCTCTAATGACTTCAGTTCTTTCACAAATTTACTTTCATTGGGGTACCGCAGACCTACACCAAGAAAGAAGAAGCATTTCACCTGATTAATATTAAACACAGCAAATAAATATTCTGAGCTTTGCATGCTCTACCTCTGGTGAATCATGAGCCAGTGCCCTGTAAATGTGAATTTACCATAGCTTTGGACCCACTCAACACCCCCCCAACACCCCCCCATCCCCCCCACCCCCGCATGAAGGAGAATACAATTCCAGTCCACAGGGGACATCAATATTTTAATGCCTGTTTCATTCAGCTTGATTGCTTCCAATCTGCTGCAGTATTAGCCTGAGGCAATGTCAGACAAAATGAACAATGTGAACTGGATCCATGTGAACTACAATAACCGTCATTAAATCTCAGGTGTCACATTAATTTTTAAAGTATTTAAAATCAGTTGGAACTTTTTCTGCCTTCTCTCAGACAACATTGTATATTTTTCATTATTTTCAATATTCTTTGCCATTTATGAAGCACATTTTGCTACAAAGCTCTTGGAATACAGTTCAGCAAAAGAAAGACTACAAATGTCATAGCCACTTAACTTCACAGCTTTGTTACTGATTTTCCACAAACTTCAACTGTAGCCTAAAGAACACACACGGCAGCATTAGGAGGAACAGGGTGCTAAGGACCAATAACTAAAACTCAATCTCCCAGGCAGCTTGCCAATTCTAGCATATCAGCAATAGACTTGCAACTGGTCAGCATGATTTGAGCCCATCGATTCACGCTGTGCTTTGTCAACAGAATTACCCTCAGCTCGGGAGAACATTTCAGCACAATGAAGTACCATCCCAGGAAGTCATTTCTCAAAAAGCCACCAGTAATATTTAAATAAGTATCAATGGTGGATGCCTTGTGCTATCATGTTGTTCAATGCATTTTACTCTTCAGCACAAGCTTGTTGTTTCTGCTTCATTATCAACATTTGCTTTTGTATAAGATGAAGTCAGAAAGTTGCAGTTTTGACTTCAGAAGAACTATGGAAGCTTAGTTCCATAAGACTTGATCTAAATTGTGCTCCAGAGTCTAAACAGCTGAGCTCCAGAGAAGCTAACACATCTGTTCTGCAGGATAAAGACACTGCGGCCGAAAGGAGGTTGAGATTTTGCAGGTGTAATGGCAGCAAGACCGTCAACACTCATCATTATTATACCTTTGACACTGACAGCAACTTCTGAAGTTCCAGGATTTTCAATACAACATTGGGAGCCTGATAGCTGGAAGTATTGCAGGTCCTGTCTCCATGCCCAAGCTATGACACTTTCCTGAGGTCATTTGTAAAAGCCAATGGGCTAATGAAGGAAGTGAGCTCAGCAGTGGCTGCCTTATTGTAGCTGCTGCTGCCTTGTCATTAAAGCAGGCAGCTTCTCAAGATGGAATGTGGTGGAAAGTAATTGGGAAGGCAAATGGTGTGTTGGCCTTTATTGCAAAAAGATGGGAGTACAGAAGTAGAGATGTCTTACTGCAGGTATACAGGGCCTTGGTAAGACCACGCCTGGATTAGTGTGTGCAGTTTTGGCCTCCCTACCTAAGAAAGCAACAGAGTGTGGAGTAAAGGTTCAGTAGGCTGATACCAAAGTATAGCAGACAGCTATATAAGGAAAGATTGGTTTGACTGAGCCTGTACACTCTAGAATTTAGGTTAGACTGGGCCTGTACACTCCAGAATTTAGAAGGGTGAGTGAAGGGGAGGTGGGTGGGGAGATTAGGGAATCTGACTGAAACGTGTAAAAATTCTAACAGAGCTTGACAGACTCGATGCAGGGTAGATATTTCCCTCAGTTGGGAGTCTAGAACCAGGGGTCACAGTCTCAGGTTTTGGGGTATGCCATTTAGGACAGAGATGAGGAAACATTTCTTGACTCAGAGATTGGTCAAACTATGGAATATCCTACCACACAAGGCTGCAGAGGCCAAGATTCTGAGTATATTCAAGGAGGAGATAAACATCAAAGGCTTCAAAGGGTACAGAGAGAAAGTGGGAAGGTGGCATTGAGAAACGGGATCACCTATGATCAGCCTGGGGTTAGGGCTGAGGCTAGGGCTGGGGCTGAGGCTGTGAGCCAGCGACCTTTCTCCAGAGGCCATTATGAAATGGGACCAGGAGTCACTTTTTTTACCAAGATGACCATCTGCAGTGTAATCAATACATACAATAACTCTGTACTCCATGCATTATTTACTCTTGTATTAATAATTTTCAATTATGTAACTGTGCTTTTATTTCTTTACTATTGATGAATGTAAACTGGTTTCGGTCAAGCTCTGGAGGATGGGTTTGTCTCATGATGCATTTCATTGATGGGCATCAAAGAGGAAATTTGTACCCTGACCAAAGAACTATATCGTGGGTATTACAACTGCAAGGCAGGTTGGGAAATTGCATAAATAAAAACTGAACGAATTGCGGATGCTAGAAATCAGAAACAAAAACAGAAATTGCTGGAAAAGCTCAGCAGATCTGGCAGCATCTGTGGAGAGAAATCAGAGTCAACATTTCAGGTCAGGTGACCCTGTTTTAGAAGCCTGTTTTTGTTGCTGGTTGTGTTTGTGGGAAATTATATAGATTCTTGCCTTGTCATTAAAGCAGGCAAGTCTTCAAAGTTTAAAAACACTGTGTTGGAATACAGTGCCTCATTATTTCTTTGACCATAAAGATAAAGGAGTTGGAGATAACATTGCAGGGAGCTGCCTGTGTTTCTTCAAGCATATTCTTGAAGACAGGCTAGATACGATACATCTGGCTGTGACTTCAAACAGGACAGTAATATAATCGAAAACCAATTAAAATGGGCCAAACCAGCTATTACCTTATATGGTAATTTCATAGCAAAGGAATAGGTATTTTAAAAAATAAATGACACGTTACTGCAGTTTGCTCACCTGCTCCAAAACCAGACCAGGAAATCTGTTGATGGATTGACCCCCTGAGGCAAACAGTTTTGTGGAGCTTCTAAGCAATCAGTATCATTGTGAGTATGTAATGTTGCTTAGTTGTGTAATAAAGGTGTATCACATGAAATGGAACAGAATCCAAAATTGTTGTCTGCTATTGATATCTGGACCAGAACCTTTAGACACAAGTAGGGGCATTTTACATCAGAAAGAGGAATGTTTCTTGAGGTGGAGAGGGCGGGGTGAAGAGGGAGAGGCTGCAAGAGGGGAAGAGAGAGGGAGGTTGCAAAGAGGGACCAGTATTAAACCTGGCAGCAAAGTACCTCGGATAACAAAGTGTAGAGCTGGATGAACACAGCAGGCCAAGCAGCATCAGAGGAGCAGGAAAGCTGAAGATTCGGGTCTGTACCCTTCTTCAGAAATGGGGGAGGGGAAGGGGATTCTGAAATAAATAGAGAGGGGGAGGGTCTCCTCTCCACCTATCTGCTCCTTTATCTATCTTCCATCCGCCTCCCCTCTCTCTCTATTTATTTCAGAATCCCCTTCCCCTCCCCCTTTTCTGAAGAAGGGTCCAGACCCGAAACGTCAGCCTTCCTGCTCCTCTGATGCTGCTTGGCCTGCTGTGTTCATCCAGCTCTAAACCTTGTTATCTCAGATTCTCCAGCCTTGGCAGTTCCTACTATCTCAGCAAAGTTTCTCAGATAACTACAAACCTGAAACCTGAAATCGCTGATGTATTTGCAAATGAATGTAAAATCCTATGTTACGACACGGAGCCAAATCAAATCCACCTCCCTGTTCCTGTATTTGCAACACAATAAAATTGAAATACTCAATGGTTCTCAAAATTGCCCTATGGTTCCTAACCAGACTCTTTCAGTAACCAATACTAGACTTTGTGAACAACCAATACCAGACACTAGGTTAATAACATAAACAAAAAGATGTAATAACTTATTCATGACACAGTAGCTTTAACAGGAAAAAGTTAAACAAGTGAGCTGTATGGATCTTGCAGCTGCTGCTGGGATTGCAAGCTTAGTTAAAGATTTATTATAGTGTTTGTTTTAACAGTTTTACAGTTATTATTGTCATTACAGTTTATTCATATAAGATTTTTTCCATTTTGTTTTACCGTCAAGAAAAAAACCAAACAAAAAAAACGTTTATTTTTCCAAACTGACTTTTTTAAACGGTTTTCTTAAGGGTCTACAATGAATGGCTGAGCTGTTTTTTATTCTTCACTCAGAAATTTTAAAAAATCTACATGTGTTTAAGAGGGTTTTTTCATGTTGCAGAAGTTTTTCTTGAAAAGACTGATCAGGTTTTTATTAAAATAAGGAGATGTTGTGCTGGAGAGTGCTGCACATGGTCAGCTCCAAGGAAGAGTTTTTTCTTTGAGGAATTTATTGAAGAGGAAACATTTTTATTCAGTTAATCAGCTAAGTGTTGATTTTATTTAATTTTTATATGTTTTATATATAGATTTTTAATTTTTGCTCCCATTTGAACATTATTTTCTGTAGGTAATGAAAAGTAGTTTATTTTATATAAAAGGTGTTATTGAAACTTTTTTTTAGGCTTAATGTTTTTAAGACCACATATAACGTGCAGAGTGAGGTGGCTAGTAGATTTAGAAAAGTTATTACCCAGCAGGATCAATCAGATACATGGGCGACTGTCAGGAAAGGTAAGAAGGTGGTTCAAAAGTCTCCAGTGGCTATTCCTCTATCAACTAGATTTTCAGTTTTTGGAACTGTTGACGGGGATAGTCTTTGCAAGAAAAATCGAAGGGCCAATCAATTATTGGACACTTGGAATGATTCTTATGTTAGGCAGAATTTGACAAGATTTAATACAATTATTGTTATAGAGGACTCTCCTGTTAGGGGCATAGACAGGAGATTCTGTGGCAGTGAACCGTAAATTTAGGATGGTTTGTTGCTTTCCTGGAGCTAGGATTAAAAAAGTTTCTAAACATTTCAAGCAAATTGTCAAAGGTGAGGTTGTGAAGCCAGAAATTATCGTACACATTGGTAGGAATGACATTTTTAGGGAAAAGATTAAAGCAGTACAGAGTGAATTTAGGTAGAAGATTAAAAAGACTTAAA